AGAAATTCCTCATACCTACTACAACCCGTACACATAAAGTGATAACAACACACACCACCTGCCCAGTGTACATATCACCTTTTTTCTCTGTGCGGAATGTGAAATGTGATGCCCCTCACTGAACTTCCAAGACACGTAATTTTCATCAGACAGTTCGGTTAGGTATATCTATACAGCCAACGCCAACGTCGTCAAGGTCAAGACTTATCTACGAATGTCTCAGGGAAAGAATTAGGTTAACCTTTGATGGGTACCGTCACGACCGCGGTATTTCACTTTTTACACTTTTTACACTTTTTACACTTTGCACTTTGCACTTTGCTTTTGCTAGCTATCTAGACTAGGCTCTCATTCATTTACAAAACCCGACCCGGGCTATTTTCATTTTCATTTCCATTTATTTTCCATTTTTCCATTTTTCCTCCATGTCCATAGTCCTCTTTTCAGCGCATTATGGCTCCTGCTCCGAATCCACCAGGACCGTCACCAGCATTGGTGGTGGTGGTAGTGGTGGTGGTGGCCGTTGGCTTTCCCCGACCCGCCGAGTCCGTAGAGGTCAGGAAAAAGGACGGATTACTACGCACGGGAGGAGGCGTGGTGGTGGTTGTGGTGGTGGTGGTGATGCCCGCTTTGAAAAAATCCACCCGACCCGGGGCGATGTTCGCATTCGCGGGGTTGGCAGCGGCAGCCGGTGGGTTGTTCGGACCTGCTCCGAACGTCGACGCCGGAGCCGGAATGGTGCCCGGGGTGGGGCTCGGGGTTTTCTTGAAAGGCCCGAAGACGCTGCGGTATGTGCTGGGGGCAGTGTTGTAGACGGGCTGAGAAAAGGGGTCTTTGACAGGTAAGACGCGGGGAATGGCGGCGAATGGTGAAGGTGAGGATTTAGGGACTGGCTTGACTGCTGGGTTGGCGGTATTGTCGGTGGTGGTGTTGGATGGCATAGGTTCGAAAGACAAAGCGGCGTATCTTTCAGGGAATGAAGAGGGTGGGTTAACTGGATGGGGTCGGGCTGGAAGGAGAGATTGGCCGGTCGACTGTGCCTTTGTTGGCAGACCGACAGGCTGAGAAACGGATGTTGCGGAAGGTGTATACACGACGTTGCTGGAAGATGACGTCGAGGAGTCCTTCCGTTTGAAATCATCTTCGGAAGGTTGCGAAGTCGTCAGCACTACTTGTCAAGTATTAATTTAGCTGCCTGTTTGTTTACGAACACACGATGCATTTACGTACCAGTTAAGTTCCGAACTCTATAAGTCTTGCAGAGATCCAGCACTTCCTTCAATGCCTGACACTCACGTTGCAACAATGATCTCTCAGCTTGAAGGTCAGCAGATTCAGCAGCCAACACAGTTAGCTCGTCGTCCTTCATCTGGCATACCCGGCCGGTTGTAAATATCGTCGGTAAATCGTTGATAAGGCAGTTCTCAACGGCCAGAATGACCACGTTGTCCGTAAAGGTTCGTAACGATAGCTAAAAAAACAAACAAACAAAGTAAGCGGGAGATCATTTATCACTGGCTGTGCGGATTCCGTTCCCTTACCTCGTAGTACGTCTCTGACTTATCAATCACGCTGTCTACGCCGAAGTCACTCTTGCGGCCGTTAGTAGACAACGAGGAGAGCTCGCGCTTCCCATTCTCCGTGAATAAGCCTGGCCGATCTGCGAGTAATTTCCGCAAGGTTTCCGTGGCCAGGGCATCTTGGCGGTGCTTGTCCATTATGGACCGGAAATCCGCATCCAAAGGTTGCGCGTAGCCGCGGCGATAATTGTAGAGCAGCTCTTGCAGCTTGTTCTCCAGCTCTGTCGCGCGTTTCTCAAAGAACGGGTCGACGATGTTCAATAAGATAGCCGAACGCGTCTTCTCGTCGGATCCGGTGATGTGTGCCACGAGTTTCTCGGTGAAGGCCTTCACGATGCGCAGGACGAGATCAATGTGAAAGCGGGCGATGTCTTCCCAGGGAGCGGACTGGTCTCGAAACAGCTTGACGACGAGAAGGTCATTGGCGCCGCCGGGCAATTCGGTGCCTTGATTGGCAGACGATAGAGGCTCCAACTCCTCTCGGATTGCATTTCTGGTGACCGTCTCGGGGTTTTCGAATGTGTATTGGTCGTGCAAGACCCGTAGAAACGGCGGCAGGTCGAGCTTGGGGTTCTTACCCGCGCCGTCTAGGGTATTGTCGCAGATAATTCGCCTGGATCCTTTGGTAGCTAGGATATAGGCAAACGTGCGATTCAGATCGCGCACGAGAGCCCGGAGCTTCTTGATTCTGTTGTCGTCAACTGCGGAAGCGGAACTGTCCGGGTATAAACCGCCGAAGAACTCATGGGAATAATTGCCTTCGATGGCGTGTAGTGATAGGAGTTGGAACTGAGAGGCAATCTTGCCCAGATACTCGCGGAGCTGACGCGGCGATGACTTTGGCTCTCCCAACTGCGCAAGGGCTTTCTGTCGAGTCTTCAAGTTGCCGTCTAGGTCCTTGATGACGGTGTTGAGACCACTCCGAGTGTGGTCGAAGAGGATATTGGCAAGTTTCTTGCGGAGTGTAGTAGCGCCTCGGGTATTGGCGGGAATGGCAGACCAGACACTCGAGTCGAAGAACTCCAGCTCCTTGACATCACGATCGGCGGACGACAGCGAGGCCTCTGTGGCACTTCGATTGCGCAAGATATGCCATCCCAAGGCGAGACGGTAGGATGAGTCCTGGTTTCTAACCAACTTGAGCAAACTATCTTCGTCCTCGGAACCTTGGTCGAGTAGGTCGAGCTTCGTGATGATGCCGAATGTTCGTTCGTACTTCTTGTCGTGGCGTTGCACCTTTGACAGGACTCTTTGCAGGGAGGCTTGGTTGTCTGCCGATACGACGGCGAGGATGACATTGTCTTTCTTGGCCATGTATCGCGCCAAGAGCAGGTCGACGATCTCCCGGTCAGTCGCAGATTGTTTTCCACCATCGGAACCGGTATGGATGAATCCGGGAAGGTCGATAAGCGTGAGGTGTGGGAGGTGTGGTGCACAGATTTCAATGCGAAGCACATCTTCAGAAAAGCCGAGGGCACCCCGGAGCAAGTGAGTCTCAGCCTCCTCGACGATTCGTGGTAGGTCGTCTTTGTCGAAGCTGGTCTCGTCGAAGGTGTGAGCCAGATGGCTCGAGAAAGACGAGGGTCGGACTCGCACCCGCAGCTTAACCTGGGGGTCAGTCCGAAGCACCAATTCAGTGGCGATACGGGTGCAAAGCCGGTCTTTCACGGGGAAGCGCACGCGGGAGATGGCCTCCAAGACAGATGACTTGCCGGATGATGGTTCGCCGACGACGATGATCTGGGGAATATCTACGCGATGGGCAATGCCATGCTTGCGCAAGCTGTCGATGGCATCGATGAGAGTCTTACGCTCACCACTGAGCTGCTCGATGGCCTGGGGATCAAGAGAGATTGTTGTCATAGTCATCGCGAAGGGGGGACGGTCGCATACCGAAAGCGAAAGAATTGTAGAAGAGTCAGGATGGATTGCCCATGAAGGTAGGCCTCTAACAAGGTGTTTATGAGGTCCTTTTTTTCCGGTGAGTGGTTGTCGAAGACAGAGAGAGTGAGAGACAGAGAAGATAGACAGAGGGATAGACAGAGAAGATAGACAGAGAGATAGACGGAGAGAGAGCATTCTTTGTTGTATGCCACACACTGTATCTAGGCAACAGTGCTCGGCCCACAATTGCACTGGCTCGAGCCGCCATATTTCCTTTGCGGCCCGTCATCGTCCATCGTCAACAATTGTCACTCCGTTTCAACTGTAGAATCGGCCTCAATAATGTGCAATCTTGTTCCATACTGTACGGATGCCGTGAGAGCTGACCGGTTTAGTCTATCTAGAGTATCAACACACACACACACGCTCGACAAGCTTCCATTTGGCATTAACGACAGCTGAAGAACAAGTTCACAATAGTCTATATCAAAACATCAAAACATCAAACACATTGAACTATCGAGTTAACCTCAGGCACACGAATACGTTATTGCCGTTATTCTTTTTTTTTTTTTTTCTTTTTTTTCTTGGGGACTAATCCCGCTTCTACATCCAAGTCTACAAAACGCTCAGCAACTCAAACTCATCATTTGAATACCTACACGCTTTTCTCAGTCCTTGTCTTTTCACATCATCGTGACATCGTTCAATAATAATACATATGCCGGGTTATCTACCGGGAAAAAAAAAGTATCCTTTTCCCCAAAATTCAACCAGGAGATGGACAGAAAGCAGTATTTAGTATTTAGTATCTGGGAATCTGTCCATCTTACATGAAGATGGAGGAATGGTTCGTAAAGGGTAGATGTGTTCAGTGATTTACTAGGTAGTATGTGTACGTACGGGCCCGCCGGTGTTGTAAGTGATGGCTTTGATGGATTTGATGGATTTGATGGCTTTTCGGGTGAGATCTGGGCATTTACCGGAATGGGATGACGGCTCTGCTCTGATTGGTCGGGTTCGATAAAGGCTCCTAATGGACGGAGGAGAGGGTCTCTAATGAACAGGTCCTTTTCACTTTCCGATTCCCTTCCTGCTACTATTTTCACATTATAGTATTCAGTCTGTTCGGTATTCAAACTGATTTGGTGGTTCCCAAATTTCCCATTTCCCCTTTCCCCTTTTCCCTCGTCATCGAATCCCAGAATGGATATGATAGGTATCTGGAGTAATCCCTGCGCGAGCGGGGACATCACTCATTCACCCGTTCAGTGGGTGGAGATAGATAGTGAAGGGTGCGTGTCCGGGGTACCTACCTATAGTTACGGGCTGGAGGCCCAAGATACAAATCCTTCCATGGGACAGCGGACGAGGCGCTCAGCTAGGCATAATGATTCCACACACAGAGGAGGCGAAAGAGTGGATGGAATGTGGGATAGGTATTTTGGATAGGTACTGACTGTATTGGCTTTCACAGCATCGCTATGGTTTTAAAAGAAAAAGAAAAGATGAAAAAGAAATGTTAAAAGTTGTAAATGACCTCGCTGGGGGTCGAACCCAGAATCTCCTGATTATCTCTTTCTGTGTGAAATCGTAGTCAGACGCCTTGCCATTGGGCCACGAAGCCAGTCGGTCTTTTTTAACTCGTTGAATGACCGAGCCGTTAATCGTCGCTAGGACGTCCGGATCTCCTCAACGGTTTGATAGATAAGGTGGGGGGCAAGGTGGGTTCAAGTGACGCTAGGTAGATAGTTAACTTATCTACCTATCTAGATAGGACATCTTCCATGTTCTCGTGAAGTTCTTGATGGTTGAATTCACAACATTCTACCCGACGAAGCATTTTATATGTACCTGCTTACTATCTTCCGTGAATTGTTGATTATGGCTATTTATTTGTTCGTGATATATAGCTATTGTTCAACTACTCACGCACGACCATTCAATTGCGATACGATACTTGCACGGTCCGTTAGGGCAAACGCCCGCTGCTGTACCTATCCTACCGGTACCTACAGTATCAGTAAATACGCGAGTAAGGTTAGCGAGATCCCTCCAGCATCCATTAGGTAAGGCAGGTATGTAACAGTGTAACAGTGTTATTGGCACTGTGAGAAACTGTATCATCCATCCGCACGAACCTTACGAAAGACTCCCCCAAACCAACAAGTAATGCCAACCCACTTCTTACTTCGCATCCCTAAATCTTCCACCATGTCTTCCCCCACCGTCCTCTCCAAGATACCCTCATCCCCGTCCACCTCAAAGCCGTGTCTCCGCGCCTCGGCAACTACCTCGTCGACCGTATGCGCAAAGCTGTCCCGGGGCCGAATCTTCACCCCGGAGTCAGTGTCCACGAAGCCGGCGCGGGAGATACCGCCCATGTGCGCGTGCATGTTCGTGAGCAAGAGGACGCCGTCGAGCCGCAAGAGCCGCGCTGCGTGCGCGAAGAAGGCGGGTAAGGGGACGTGTTCGAGGACGAGGGTGCTGATGAGGGCGTCGGCGGCATGGAGCGGCATGGAAGAAGGGGGCGTCGTGGATGTCGTCGAGAGGTCGAAGAGTGCGAATTTGACATTCGTCGGATTCTCCCCGTCCGCTGCCGCGAGGCTGCTCTGCGCGACGCGTATCATGCCTTCGCTAGCGTCTAGCGCGATGACTTCTGATTGCGAATCTGAATCTGAATGTGAATGGGGGATATTGAGTAATAGTTTTGTATTACGACCCGTCCCACAGCCCAGATCTACGAGACGCCATGGCTTCGGGGAGTGAATAGAGCGTAGGAAACGCGGGAATAAGGTCTTGAGCTCTTGGGTGTCTAGGGCTTGGAGGAAGTTGTTGTCGGTGTCGTAGACGGCCGCCCATTTGTTGTAGGCTTCGGTTGTGGGAAGGTAGCGGATCGTGGTGGAGGGGTCTGTTGGTGCCATTGTGCTTTTGATGATGGTGATGATGATGATGATGATGATGTATGATGCTGTTTAAGGGAGGGATGAGGACTTTTTACATGCGAATGACTGCTTGGCGCCGATCGAATGAGTCACCGGCCGGCAGCGTATTTCTCCTCAATCATGCCGTGCCAGATAGTCCTTAAGTCCTCAGAGGGACAGTCAATTCTCACAAAATGAAGTCGCGATAGCGCGTTTGGAGTTTTTGTTTTTTATTTTTTTGAGAACTACAGCATTTTTGACGAATTAAATACAGTGGAATGAGATATATGACATGGAGATGACGTGGTTCAACGCTTCCAGCATGATTAAGTTATTCAGTATTATTTTGGTACTCGCTCACACTCGCCAAGAGCCATTTGGGAAGTTGATAAGACAAAAACAGTGCGATGGCAGTGTTTTCGACGTCGAAACATGAGAAGCATTTCTGGAAAGCACGTCAAAACGCAGGCGATGAAATCCAGTTTGCTCAATCTTTCTCGATGATAATAGGACTCAACATTTACTCTATATTAAGCTATTGCTAGGGTTTAACCCGGAAGACTAAAGACTCATCGGACTGACTACAGATTTCACAATCACCTACATCAATCAGATCAGGACTATGCGTATAACGATCCGAAAGGCACACCAAAGAGCGATTATTCAAGTCTTCAAACCAGATTATAGTTATTTTGATTTCTAACAAATGAAAAAAAATAAGTTTAAAAGAACGACTATGAACCAGCATCATATCTCCCATGACCCAGCCAATGATCCCCCGGGGTATCCTCTCCATCCTATTCCAAAAAAAAAACCCCTATTTCATTGAATCCTTCACTCAATCACCACCCCCAAAACACCCAATTCCTCCCTCAACTTTGCAGCCTTGTCCGCAAGCAGATTGATGTCCGCCAACGGCAACCCCAACAACGTCTCCACCACCATCGCGGCAGCCTCGTCCGGAGTCTTGACATCCCCCACTTCCGCCCATTGCTCTGCGCTCACGAGCGCCAGGGCATCGAAATTGCTCGTGTCGATACCGCAGGTGGCGGCGCGCACCATGAAGTTCAAGGTCCGGGCTATGTTGCCCAGGTAGCGAGTGAGGAAGTAATCGGTCAGGCCGCCGCGGTGGTAGACGATGAAGGAGGAGGACGATAGGGTAGAAGGGGACGGGGAAGAGGAGGGGGGGTTGGAATGGAGGAGGGACTTCTCCCAGGTCCGACTGCGGGGATTTCTGAAGAAGAGGGATGGGGTCGTGGTTTTCATGCGGGGCTTGGGGGTTTGGGGAGTTGAGGCTGCGAGCTCGTCTTCGGAATCCGAATGCCCTTCGTCTTGTGGTACTGGGTTCTGTTCCTCCTCTGCATCCAACGCATTCGGATAGTCCGCCGTCGTCGTCTCACGCGGTAAGTTTCGATGTGGTTCTTCATCCTCGTCGCATGAGCCGTTACTGTCGATGTCGGAGTAGCTCACCGAGACTTTCAAATAGCTCCCCTCGTCCATCAGACTACCACAGTGCAGACGTCGTCGCTTGGTATCCTCGCTGATGATGTTGTCTTCTTCATGAGTTCGTTTCGGTGCCATGATTGCCGTGTGAGCCTGTGCTGCGACTGACTATTGGAAGATTAGTGAGCCCGGATGCTTTGCGTCTCGTAAGTCCACAACTAGTCAAGGCAGCACTTTTTTCTCGTCGAGAGACTGCAAACTATCTGGTGGGTGAGGGCTCTGTGGTGGTTTCTGGAAGTCGGTGTTATTTTGGCGGTTGATCTAGATACTTTATAGAAGAGCATCGCTGTCGTCGCTTTGTCTTCACTCCCCTCGCATCCTAAACAGTAGGCATTTGATCTGCATTGTCTAAGTGACAAAGGGTGAATAGCTGAACAATGCAATGTAAGACCATGTACCATACTTAGTCCATTCAACCCTTCAATGTACCTAACCTTGGACAAAAACCGCCACGTTTGCTATTCACGATTGGATCGAGCATGAGAGGGACTATAGAAATTCATCGGCAGGCGTTTATTGCAATCTTATGAAAGCGGTCTATCTCCATAATCATCGTTGCTTAACCCTTGGCCGCACCGGCCTTAATCAATAGAATGTCTCCATCCTCAACAACGTACTCCTTGCCTTTTGTCATAATCTTACCCTTTGATTTCACTTCCGTCTCATCACCAAGCTCCTTCAATACATCGTAGTTGTATACAACGGCTTGGATGAAAGTCTTCTCAAAGTCTGTGTGGATGACACCAGCAGCCTGCGGCGCTTTGGTGCCTTCTCTGATTGTCCATTGTCGGACTTCATCAGTACCGACGGTGAAAAAGCTGCGGAGGTGCAAAGCTTTCCGCATCGTCGTGACGATCTTGGGAAGCGCGGACTCAATGCCGCAGTTTTTGCATTCCTCAGCAGCCTCCGCCTCAGTCTCGAAACGTGTCAAGCGCTCCTCGAAGCTGACAGAGATGGGAAGGATAGGATCGCCAGCAGCGTGCTCCTTCATCCACTCCCCAATTCCGGCAAGATTCTTGTTCTTCTTTCGTGTGTAGTCTTTCTCCGAAAGATTAACGAGGTACACCACTGGCTTTGCTGAGAGCAGAAGCAAGGTGTTGATGACCTCAACCTATTGACATGGTTAACACACATTATCCAGGCCACATATTGCAGCATAAATAAGAATGTAACATAAAAAATCAGAGCATGTTTTTTATCTCAGTGCGCACTCTGCGTTGTATATATTGAGGCGCTTTCGAAGAGCTGGGTTATAAGATCAGGCGCTATGGCCCTTTGTCATCATATTATGGCGAGGGAATAGGGAAAAAGAATCCAAGAAAAATCTGCGGTCTTACCTCTTTTGTGAGCCAGTTGCCCTTCCGGACATCCTTGCCGTCTTTCAACCAGGCAAGGACTTTCTCCATAATGGCCTCCTCTTCTTTGGCCTTTTTAAGCTCCAGACTTTGACCACCCATACGGGTCTTCTTCTTCTGGTTCTCTATCGCCTTCTCTGTGAACTCGATATCTTTTGTCCGGAGCTCATCGGCGATGATGTCTAGATCTCTGACGGGGTTGACGTCGCCTTCGACGTGGATAATCTCGGCATCATCAAAACACCGAACGACCTGGAAGATGGCATCGACGGCGCGAATATGAGACAAGAAAGCGTTTCCCAGACCGGCACCGGTTGAGGCACCCCTGGTAAGACCCGCGATATCGTAGACCGTCAAGTGAGCCGGCACTCGCGACTTGGGGTTGTACTTCGCGCACAACCAGTCGTAGCGCTCATCCGGTACAATGACGCGGGATTCCTCAGGATCAATAGTAGCGAAGGGGAAGTTCTACTATGTCAGATGGAAGAGAGACGGGAATTGAAGCGGAAAGCTTACAGCAGGGTTGCCAAGACTACACTTGGTGATGGCCTGGAACAGCGTGGACTTGCCAACATTGGCAAGACCGACGATACCGGCCTTCAAGTTGTTGCCAGGACGACCCAGCAGGATCTTTTCTTCGGCGGCGGCTTTCTTGGGAGGCATTTTGCGGGGAGTACGTCGGCTAGCGTAGGTACGGGTGAAGATGAATACGGCGCAACTAAGCACACGAGGGGGAGACGGGGAGAAAAACGCAGAACTCGCTGCGACAGGTTGAAAAAGGCGGATTAGAGAAGCGAAAGGTGGAGGAGAGAAGGTGGAGGGAGACGTGGTGAAGGGGTTTCGGC